TAAAGCATATGAAAATCGCTTTCCTACTGAAATCACAGATAGCTAAGTGTTTAATGTTCCCAAAATATGTGGTAATAAACTTGGCATTGTTGATTATGCTGGCTGGAATTTAGAACATAAAAAAATGAAACCACTTTAGTGTTGTAAACAGTAGTGGATGAATTGATGGTCATTCTGTTTTGGGGCTTTTCTTTACGTCTGTGGTTTAATGTTGAGTGATCAAGGTGCCACATATGTATATATATATATAAAATAAAAAATGAAATAAAAAAAACCTCCCATTCCCAATACCTGCTTCCCTTTTTGACCCCTAAACAAGCTGCCTTTAATCCACAGTCATGTCCAGACATTTTAAACAAGTTTACGGTTTATTCGTATAAAAATCCCCCCCAAAAAACAAAGAGTTAATACTGATGCCAAAAATAGATAAATATCACTTTTTTCTGTATTCAATTCAGCCATCTATTTCGCAGCTCTAGAAATAACCACATTGGTCGAGCGAGATTTGAGGAGGGGCAGATATAAAAAAAACCTAAAGACTAAAAAAAAAATCATTAAAATATTCCTTGTTGCAGACAAAGTTCTCCAAAGTCCAATACCCTGGCACTACTCCATTGTACAACGGACATATTCCTTGATTATCTGTTCTTTTTCTCCATCTCTCTCTCGCTCTCTCTTACTCTGTGGCCGGTTCGGGGCGGTCCTCGGGACTGGCTCCTGCTTCTTGTCCCGTGGGAGCAGGCGCTTCACTCGGATAGGCAGTGGGATCTGGCACGGACTCCACTGGTTTCTCCTCCTCTTTGGGCTCTTCAGTGGCAGGACTGGCAGCGTTGGGCTCCTCTACTGGTTTCTCCTCTACTGGTTTGGTTTCTCCGACTGGCTCCTCTGCTGGTTTGGGGTTCTCTTCTAACGCTCCTCCTTCGACAGCTTCAGCTCGCTCAGTTTTGTCTTCCTCCACCGCATCCTCAGCTCCATCTCCAGTCTCCTTCTTGGTTTTCCTAAAAGAGAAGCCACTTAGCTTGAAGGACTTCTTAAAAGAGAAGCGCTTTTTCTTCTTCTTCTGCGTCTCATTGCTTGTGGAGGGAGTGTCAGCATCATCAGGTTTGGCGGGCTCCTCTCCAGCGGGAGCGCTCACTTCAGTGTTTTCTTCTCCCTCCGCGGGCTCCTTCTCTGCAGGATCCTCAGGCTTCTCTCCATCAGCACTGCCGTTAGCCTGAACCTCTACTTTCTCCTCAGCCGCCGGAGACGCGTCTCCGTTCACCTTCACATGACCGTTTTCCTGAAGCAAAACACAGAGCATCATTACACATCCAGCTTCAAACTCCCATCCTCCACTCAATGCCATTACAGAGCTTGGAAGAGCCAGGACTTTTTTTTTATATATATAACTCAGATTGTATCCGTCTGAAAGAAGCATGTCATATACACCAGATTGGCTTGAGGGCGAGTAAATCATGGGCTAATTTTAATTTTTGGGTGAACAATCCCTTTAATTCGTGATATGTGCAATGTATTACGACGTGTTTTGTTATAACTGAAAATGTATTTCTGATATGAATAAAAAGAAGAGTAATTTCAGATATCTAGAAATATTGTCTTACCAGTAACAATCACAACCATAATATCAAACATTACGATTTGTAATAGTTAACGTCTGAAATTTTCATATTCGTCATTTGGTGGCTTTGGATTGTCAAAACACCTCTCAAAATGATTGCTACGGATGCGAAATACGCAGAAAATCGAACCCCTTTTTATTTATTTCTAACTCAGTGTGCAAGGACCTTAAGAGTTATATTTCTGATTTGTGAATTTTGAATTTCAACTATTAAGAAATAAATTCTTGATATCAATAATTGAATAACAATGGCAGCCTATGGTGATGACATTTAACTAGTGAAAATACAATTACAGTACAGATATCAAGAAATATAGTTTTTACTATAGTTGAAATTCAATTATTGATATGAACAATTCGTACTTCTGCTAATGTTGACGTCATTGTTGATATCAAGAATTAACATTTTACCAGCTAGTGGAAATTCCTGATAACAAGAATTAGCATTTTAACTAGTGAAAATTAAATTGTTGATATGAAGAATTCATATCCTGAATGATTAAAAGTCAAATCGGCTTGCCATAGGAGTCGAGGCGCGTTACACTTAGTGCAATACACAACATAACCGCCAGAGGCGCGCCATCAACGCCGCGACAGAAGTTAACGGCGCGCCAAAAAAAAACACACAAACCTGTACAAAACACTGATTGTATGAATGGCCATTAAGGCAAAGTATAATGTATTTAATGATTACAGCCGTTTTCGTTGCTCTGATGGGATTTCCCCGATGGACGGATTCCATCCATTGTGATCCCAAACCGTCTGTGAATAAAGGCGTGGCGAGTCATTGTTAACATTACTCTAACAATCAACCCCCACATTTCCCCCTCGTTCTCAAGACGGTAAAAACACACAGAAGCAGCAAATTCAATTATTGCCCACACAATCCCCTATAGTTTGCCCGCATAGCAAACCCAACGCAACCTCAACTGCCCACAAAAAAAAAAAAAAAAAACGCTATTCAATTCGAAACAAAGGCTTCTCCTGAACAAATAACGCCGAATCTGATTTCGGAAACCATTTAAGCAAGATTTTATGATTATACATATTTTTAATACATAAGAACTTCTTTTCTATTGCATATTAAAGATTGTCAAAGCGACCGGGTAATAAAAAATGCATTTTCGTGTGGTTGTTGGATGGGGTTGCAGAACTCCTATAATGAACACAACATGACTAAACCAGTTCTCCTGTGAAATGACCGGGTTTATAACGGTTAACTTACCTGTCCGTTGGCTTTGGATGGTGAAGCTGCAGCCTCTCCGGGTTTTTCAGCAGCTGTTTCTCCATTTCCAGCTGTCTTAGAGACTTGCGCTCCCATGCTTTCACTCCAACAAAGAGCTCAACAGACCCAGCACAGAACAAAGAGCAACAAGCGAAGCGTCTTCCCCGGAATAAACACCTGGCCGACGAGCTCACTGCGAGTCAACGAAGCGAGCAAACCCAGTCTCAGAGAAGGAAACCGGTAGGAAAAACCCTGGCAAGTGCAAGTAATAATCTAAATCCTAGATTTGTGCCCGTTACTCTCTGGACAGCACAGAAAATGGAGAAATTTTCCTGGTCGCTAATAAGATGCGGAGTCCAACGCCCAACAGCACCGATGAATGGGCATTCCGCGGGATGACGTCACTCGGAGCCGTCGACGACCAATCAGTATCGACTATCAGCGAGAGGGCGCGACTTAAATCTGAACCAGCCAATCGTAGCAGAGCGTCTGAATCTGGGCGCGTCTTAAAAGTCTGAAGCGAACAATAGAAACTGACAATGTTGTAAATATAAAACCAAGAATAATTTTAGAGAATCCATATCTGTTTTTTTTTCTCTCCGAAACCGTTCAATCAGCATCTTAGAAATGGTTTCATCATGAGGTTATCACAAAAACTTTTCATTTTTTCATTAAAAAAAATAAGCAACATTTTACTTAAGCAACATACGTGATTTTTGTTCTAGTAATATTTTTTTTCTAATAATTTGAGAAACACGTCCATTTTATTTATTTGACTGCCAAATGTGTACTGATCTCCAGCAATTCTAGAAAAAATATATATTTCATCACAAATTAAGTTATTTAAGATCCAAAATAAAAAGAATGTCCTTTGTGCACAACTTCATAGCTTTTTTTTTTTTTTAAATTTGTAAAGTGACACTTTTATTCATGTAGCCTAAATAATTTGCATGAGCGATAATGCTAGCATGGAGCAATAACATGTTAACTTTGGGATGGTTCATCCAAAAAGTTTTATGTAATTTTTATTCAAATATTATAATAAGTTGATACTCGCAATGGAAACAAGCATATTCTCTTGACGTGCAAAACCAATGAGGTTCATTCTCATTATGCAGCACATCTCAGTTTCCGAAAGAGGTTTGTTCTTGCGCTCAAAACAGGTTCGGTAGAGCTTCCCTTTATGGACGCTGTTTATACAGTATGTGAATGTGAATAAAAGCCTAATTTCAATCTGTTAATCATATAAAGCCATAAAGTCTCTTCAGAAAAATTTGACTAAACCAAATGGATTAGTCATACAATCTCTTTATGAACTTTTTGAAGCGTCAAAGTGGTATAGCCTGGATGCCAGCTCGAACTCCGCCCACAACATTTTTTGGTCGGGAAGTTCGGTCTGGACTCGATCCATTGAGGAGTAATTACGATCAGTCAAAAAGTCCGCTGTCACGTCTGTTTTTAAAATGAATCGGCAACGCATTAATTTTAATAGACAAACAGAAAACTGCAATCAAGGCATTTGTCGATCGGAAAGATATTTTTTGCCGTACTTCCTACATGATTCGAGAAAAGTGTAACTTATCAGCTGGCTCCGATGGTCGCTAAGAAGATGGGACGTAATGAAAAGCTTGTGGTCGTTGTGGTTTCTCCTTTGGTCGCACTCATGGAGGACCAAGTAAAAGAAGCAACACTCGTTATTTTACTTCTAAAATAAGTAAGTTCTGTTGACAACTGTGAAATGCAAAGTAGTTACTTCACTGCGTTGCTCTGATTGGTTGTAGGTCTACCGACTATCCAATTGAGTGCAGAGTTTGTTTTGTTTCCTGGTTCGGTTAAGACACGCCTTATAATCAAAGCCCAATGAAGCAGTTTCAGACTCATATTCTCACTAGAATATGAGTATAATGAAGTCAGGCTAGGTATGGATAGAACTTGCTCTAATTTCATCAATAAGATCTTCATTTGTATTCCGAAGATGAACGAAAGCCGGTTTGGAGCGACATGACATGAGGGTGAGTAATTAATGACAGAATTAAAAATTTTGGGTGAACTAACCCTTTAATGGAGCACAGAAAATAACTCTTGATAGCTTCTGCTACCATTGAAAAAATGAAAATCATCTTGTTTCCCATTTGAAAGAACAGAGAGTGGTGCAGTTTCCATGGTGATGACTCAGACAAGACTAGAGGGGGGGAAAAAAAGATAAAATTAAAAAGAAGAATAAATGCATCTACTTTTTCATAGGTGTTTTTTTACTCACAATTTGCTATGACGTACAGTCAATATGTTTTTACTATTATTTAAATAGATCACTAGGGATTAATTAAATGTCAATTATGAATCTAACACTTTTAACAAGGTTGCTGTGATGTTTCATGGAATTTCCATAGACAATGATTTTTATACTGTGCAAATTGGACATTCTATTTTCTATCTATTCTAACCCTACATCACAGAAAACTTAAAAAAAAAAAAAAAAAAACTTTAAAAGCTTTCGGATATTGCCATCTTTGTGAGGACACACACAAATACACTCGCACATTGGGTTTCCATTTTTAATGGGGACTTTCCATAACGTTTTTTACACTGTTCAAAATTTTTACACAATTTTAGACTTTCAAAAAATATAATTCTTTATGATTTATAAGCTTGTTTCCTCATGGAGACCAAAAAATGTCCCCACAAGGTTAACATTTACTGGACATTTGGTCCCCCATAACGTAGGGAATACAAGGGTCACACAAACACACACACACACACACACACACCACACACACACACACACACACACACACACACACACACACACACACACACACACACACACACACACACACACACACAAAGACAAGGATTTTGGTGGAACCCTGTATTTCTGTAATGGCAAAATACTGATATGTGTTGTCTTGATTGCCTTCCTGTTGATCACCTTTGACGTTGTGTCGAAATACCACCCCTTAGAGCCCCAAACACCTCTGACATTTTCAAAATAAGGCCAATGGAATTGCCATGCAGAATTTCCGCCACCTGGTGGAATTGTCCTAAGTCCAGTAGGACTACTTGTCCAGGTGGAATCGTCCTAAGGCCTGTAGGACTACTTCCTCCCTTGGGATGAAGGTTTACCAGTCCCTCCAGGATTTCGCGGGCCTTTTTTGTGATTGTTGCGGCCTAAAATGCCTGATGTTGCGTCCGCTTTTTTAAAAAGTTGCGATAAAAGTTGCGATGTTCTTCTGCATGTTTTTATAGGTTAAAACGGCAAAGATAGATAGATTTTTACTTAAAATGCCCATATTATGCTTTTTGGCTTTCCCCTTTCCTTTATTGTGTTGTTTTATTTTTTTGTGCATGTTATAGGTTTACTAAGAGAGAAAAGTCCAAAGTCCACCCCAAAGGGACTTATTATGTCCCACAGAAAACATCAGCTCTATTGTAGTCCAGAATTGACTTAAGAGACAAATTCACACACTTTGTAACACATGAACAAACTAACTAACCATTAGTAACCATAAAAGGCAAAACAAACGATTTAAAGACACAGCAAAACCTAACAAACTAAGCTTCTTTTTTTTTTTTAAACAAGATCTGCACCTGCAAAAAAGTCAATGTGCAGAACCTCACAAACATTAAGCAGCATTTATGTTGAAAGATGCCAATACTAATAAAGTGCAAAATACAGTTTTAGGAATAGACAGTTAAATGGTTAAATGGTGGAAAAACCAAATGTTTGATAATGTATTTTAATATAGCTAATATAATATAATATAGCCGCATATCCAATAAAGCTGTTCTCATTTGCTTAATTTTTTTTGTCAGACAATAGAACGAGTCGGCTAGCTATTTTTTATGTGTAAAATTTTCTGAATTGAGAGAGTTCGGGAACTGGGTGAACTAATGCACTGTGATAGTAGCCTATTACAAGTGATAAACACAAGAAAAGAAAGGAAAATAAAATGGTCAAACTCAATTCTTTAAATATAAAACAAAAGAGAAGCAGATAAGTGATAAGTCCGTGGAAACAACACTGCTCATTCGCGTCTGTCAGCTGCCGTGCTGCTCCTCTACTGCAGCCGTTCACTGAACAGGGACGCAGACCGAGGTGTGACGGCAGGGAGAAAGCAAACCTCGCGCTCGCAGGATTGTGCTGGCAACATTTGGTTACTGAGGTTTGTCCAAAAAGCCGCTAGATTTGTCTCTAGTCGCTTTTTTATATCACTAAATATAGCGACAAAGACTAAGTTGGCAACATTGGCCTTTTCTGTTATTTTTGTAGGTAGCCTAAATGTGAGACGTTGGCAGTCCACATCTGCTGCGTCTTCTGAACAAAACAAGTGAGTTTGCTGACGTATGACGACGCTTTGCAGGAGACCGCGGCGCGATGATTCGTCAAAGTTGCAGAAAAGTTGCGGTGATTTTTTAAAATTGCAAGGCGCACTGAATTCACGTGGATTTGTTGAAGTTGCGTTAATAGTTGCGATCGCGACATCGCGAAATCCTGGAGGGACTGGTTTACAGTGCTGTTGGACAGGTCACTGCCACCCTGCGTGCCATGGCAGTCTTGCAGGTCCATCAGGCAGAGAGCTGCACGAGGGTAGTGCTGAGTGGAGATTGATGCAGGAACTGCGTTCGGTGGCTGCCATTGCTCTCAGAACAAGTAAAGTTCTGGCGCAATCTGTCGGCCAGACGATGTCCACATTTGTGGTCCTAGGATGCCATTCTTGGCTAACGTTGCAGAGATAAGGGAGCTCATCTCACCTCACGGGGTGCTATTTGGTGAAACTGTAAAGGACTTTGCCTTGCAGTTCTCAGTAGTAGAAAAGTAGACTGAGGTGTTTAGGACATCTTGCCTTGTCCAGATGCCTCCTAGGGCACAAGAAAAAGGCATCCGCTCTGGGCCCAACAAGGGAAGTAGGCATTCAAATACTTAACTACCTTGATGACTAAAAAAGTTTAGTTAATTTATATATATATATATATATAGTGCCGCTCTGGAGAAAACCATGATGTCATAGTCCAGCTCAGTTCAGTTCTTGTATAATAATCTCAATGCAGGCTGATCAATATTATTGTTGAATATTAAATTTAAATTACATTTAATGTCCCCAACTAAGCAAGCCAAGCCAATGTCAACAAAGGTGAAAAAAGGCGACATTGGAAAGGAACCAAAACTCCATCAGGTGGTAGAATAAATAAAGAAGAAAAAAAAAACAACCTTGGGAGAAACAAGGCTTAGTTAGGGGGCTGGTTAACGAATGACAAGTGTATGATTATGATTCAGGCAGCATTACAGGTCAGAAGTCAGATTGGATCGGAACATTGAGAATATTTATTCAGTTCCATCTGGTTGAAGATCAGATTCATCACAGCGGTTTGG